AGCATAATTTCAGCCCCAGGTCAAATTCTAAAATTCTTCACGAAATTCGCTCTAAAAACTTCAACCGTTTGGATTTTATGGAGGACATTGAAATCAGAAATGAACTTCAGGACAACTTCTCTTGTCTCAACACTCAGGTGAACCTTAATAGATCTTACATCCCCTTACACAGACGTCTTTTAAATTAAATCAAAAAAAACCAATAGATGATCTTAACTAAGTCAATTTATTCAATTATTTACTCAAAAAAATTTTCATTTATTTCAACCGTATCTCATATATCCTTTTTGCACTCTATGATGATATAAGGGTAGTCTACACATTGTGGAGGACTAGCTCGTCATCTACACTACAGGTTTTTTACACTATAAACATCTTGAATCTCCAAATATTGTTTTTTAAAACGTTGGTAATGGTTTTGGATTTTATAAGCTTTCACTTTTCGAACTTCCCGCTCTTGTCAGCTACACAGACTTACTTGTCATGTGTCACTCTAAAGGGAAACCACAATCAAAAACGTGCAACCATACACAAAATGGCTGCACATCATTCATCACCTGTTGGTCTTCCACAAAATTTAAAGAAATATTAATTTAAACTTAAAAAACATCTTTCGATGTGATTGTAATTTGAGAGGACACAGCCTTTGCATAGTGCACCAGCGAAAAACCAAAGATCTTCCGATATTTTAATGTGTTAATTTTAATTTGTAATGTGATGTTTCGTTCCTTTACACCTATATGTTCAACGAGAAGACTCTTTGTACAAACCTGACGAAGTGAGTAAATTTACTTTCTTTAGTAATTAATTTCTTCCTTTTGAATAATTTAAATTGATATAGATTAAATTTTCTAAGATTTCAGATAATTTTCAAAATTTTTAAAATTTTCAAATTTTCCAAAATTTCCAAACTTTCATTAAATTTTCCAGTATCTTCAGAAAGTGTTTTTCCTTACTTTCAGGTTGCACTGATGATGGCCACGGCCGAAAGCGCCTTGCACTGATATTTATTAAAGAATTTTGCACGAAATACAAAACTTTTTCATTCTTCATTGATCAAAAATTCCCAGTTGCTTCTGCAGCTTCAATGCTGCCACAATGCTATTTTTGTAGGAATAGGAAACATCCAGAGGAAGCTTTTGTCGGAGCTGTAACAGAAAAGGGCATTTTTCATAAGTTTATATCGGATATACTACAAAAGTCAATCTGCTTCAACAACTCGATCCGTCGATCCTCTGTGTTATATGATAGCTGCTGCTTCAAATTGTCTTAGTAAATCACTTAATTGATTTACTAAGTGAAGTAAAAATGAAAATGATACTTTCATTGATGCTCTCGACTCATATATTTAGATACCGGTAGTTATAGTTCACAGATGTACCTACTTCAAGGTATGTGTACTTCAATAAGAATTTTGTTCAAAACCGAATTATGAAAATACATTTCATTGCAGGAAGAATTGCTATGGCATCAACAACAAATCTATTCCTAAATATATGGACTGTTTTGTGAATATTGAACTCATGAGACATATCAATACAACTGTTTCAACAACAGCACACATTTTATCAGAAGTGTGTGCAGATGTTGTTATTGGTCATGATTCACGGTAGCAACATACAAGAAGTGAACTAGAATTTGGTGGATTCACAGCTCAATTACCTCTATGTAGTCTTGCAGTTGCTGAAATTGGAACGTAATTTATCTCAACATTGTAGATTTATATATCGTAACTATAAGTCAAGAAAACACAGAAGAAGATGCTTAGTTTATATCTGATGAAGTGGAAGAAGCTGTTATCTGAAGGTATCATTGAGAAAACAGAAAAGCAATTCACCCTGGACAGCCCAAGCACTATACTTATACTTAGTTACAAAATCTGAGAATCATAAGCAAAGGATGGTTATTAACTATACTCTCAGAGTACATATACAGAAAAAATGGTGGTAACGGTGGCAAAATATAGACTTTGTGAATTGCTCGTTCTGCTGTATCTATTGATCATAGTACTTAGGTATTCTTTTTGTCGTCGAAACAGGAGGTTTTAGACCATCTGCTAATGCAGCCTGTCTTAGTCTATCTGATCGTCAAGTGAACAAAGGCATACTGCTACTGTGGATAAAAAAGCAATCGACAAGATACCAACATAGTTTTTGCTCTATAAATTGGAATATTTTGGAGTTAGGGGGTAGCGGGTAGGTAAATTTTTGCGGTTGTTAGAAGGCTTTCTCACTGAACGTACTTTCCAAGTACATGTGGATTACTCACTTTTCGAAGAAGCACAAAGTACAGGGATTAGTTCTCAGCCCGCTATTGTTTATAACATGTACAGTGTGTTTCACTAACCTCGAAACAGAGGCGTTTTAGGTTCGATTTATAAAAAAAAACACTCGGACACGTCGTTTTGTATTCAAGGGGAACCTTTTTGACCCCATAGGGTTATGGTGCACCCCCTGGGTGAGTGACTTTTACCCCTATTTTTTAAATAGGGAAGATGGGTCGGGTGTGGTAGCTTGTGTTAAAGGTATTTTGATTCTCGTCACAAATGCGTATTTTCTTGAAAATCGAATGATAAGTTCTTCTCTAAGATATTCACTGTCAAAGTTGCCATGGGCTACATAAGAAATAATCTTCTGGCCCTATTATTCTCAAATTAACACTTTCCTGACTTTCCTCTCGGACACGTCAATTTTTATTTTTTGTGTGCTTCTGAATTCTATTTTCGGAAAAAAAAACGCACTTGTGATAAGAATCAAAATTCCTTTGAAACAAGGTACCACTCGAGCCATCTTCCCTATCTAAAAAAGAGGGGTGAAAGTCACCCCACCCAGGGGGTGCACCCTAGCGAAATACCGATGGGGTCAAAAAGTTTCCCCCTCGAATACAAAAATGATGTTTCCGAGCGAACAGAACTAGGACTGTGGTGATAGCTGTCCAACCAAATACGGCAGTCTACTTGGTTTTCTTTTAAAAACTGCATACTGCTGTTAGCAATAATAATGCAATATTCTTGTTTCATTTTGAATATTATGTATAGGCACATAGGCCAGGAGAAAGCAATACTGCTGACATATTTTCCAGAATTTGTAATTAACTCAGTGGAAATGCTCTATAGGCCTCTACGGAAACGCTGATCCGATTAACCCGATCACCAGCTTATATATTTTGTCGTTTTTCAATCATGTTCATTAGAAAGATGAAAAACAAACAGCTGGTAGTCGGATAAATCGGATCAGTGTTTCCGTGAAGGCCTTATATTATGATCTTCAAGCCTTATGATATCCTGGGATAACGCGAATGTCGCATTGGATCAAATTAAGAAATCTGCCCTATTTTATTGAAGATATCGGCATTTACCGATGTGCTTTTTTTTTCTTCAAGTAGTTTCCCCATCATTAGGCCTAATGCACTTTGAAATTACAAATCACAGCCAAGACCGGAAAACTATCCATTAATTCAACACCCTCTCCACAGCTTGGATTGCGCCCCTGCTACACTTACCGTGAATAGTATATTGGTGCAACAAAAGGGATCCAGGACAACTATGGCATGAGGCCTCCCCGGGACTACATACCGAAGAGACTCGGTCAAATCATGAACTGTTTTTGGGAATTGATGCAACATGTAATTTCACAGTAGAAATTGAAGTATGAAATCATCTTCCATCAGGGCACACCAGCATCTGATCTATAAAACCTCTGTTAATTTAAATTCACTATAATTAATAACCAAGAGTTCTCTATATGTGCAGAAGTTGAGCCTCAATTTATTTAAACACAAGAGAAACTTATCAAAACAACTCAGCCATTTGAGAGATTTGAACGTAGATTCTAGGGGCTTTTAACAGCACTCCATGGAAACAAGTACTTGCTAACAAAAATTGATGAGTTTTCCAGTTTTCTTTTCGCCTTTGCTTGTTCTGATATGAGTAGGCATTCTGATTCTGTTATTAAATGTTCTTATCAGCTCCTCTCACTATTTAAAATGCCACTTAACATCCATTACGATCAAGGATCAAATTTTATCTCTAAAAATTTACAAGTCGAAGTCCTCGATATATTTCGGAAGGTAATGGCCAAATAGAAAGAACGCAACAATGGAATAATTTGGAAGACTATTACCTTGAGTTTAAAATCCCGAGGTCTTACATCATTGGAAGAAGTACTGTGAGAAGTTTAAGAATCAATTCGCTTTCTCCTCTATCTTTTCTAATTGTAGTCCTCATGAGAACATGTTCATAGTCATCCAAAAAAATCGACGTTTTGGAAACCTATACCAAGCTGGCTAGCTAATTCAGGACTAGATAAAAACAAATATGAACCACTCGTAGGTACCGGAAGTCGAATTTATGAAAGCTGATCCAGAGTATGCACTGGTATAATTTTTGGATGGGAGAGAAGCAAACGTTTCTTTAAAACACCTGGCTTCCAGAGGTAATCTTCAACTATTACATGAAAGAAAAGAACAGTTGATGTAAGTACATATCAATGATGATTTTCACAATTTGCAGAACTGGAATTTAGAGAGAGTATCCACTATTTCAAACTGAAGAACTATCAAGAACACCATATCAGCCTGAAGAGATTCCATAATCTACTTAAAATCAACAAGTCTAGAGTGGAAACACCAACAAGACTTTGAAAACCTCCAAAGTTTTTAGAAAATCATGTTCAAAATTAGAAAGGAATTAGGGAAAATGTTCTCTGCAGATTATTATTTACTGTATTTATTACCTTTAGACCTTTATCTGTTTGTCATTTATAAGTTGTCTAGTCAATTTGTCAGAAAAGCTCTGTACAGTTTTTGTTGAATAATAATAAAGCCTTATTTCCGGAGGTGTCTAAACTTTTATATTATAAATACTTGCAAACTGAATAATTAGATATGTACAAAAATCGATTTCCTGGGTATTCTAAATCAACACCTGTTTCCTGTGAAAGTGTTTGTATTGTAACAAAACGTTCCTAGGGCAATTTTTAGAATCACCCTATCTTTTTTAGTGCTTGAAGTATACCTGTACCTTATTGACGTTACGCTGTAACAAAAGTTATGAAAATGAATGATAAACCCACAATTCTTTGCCCATGGTACGTTAATAACAATTTATTTATTTCCGCTAACTTAATTATTTTAACAGTCCACTTCCAAAGAGGCTTATAACGTCAAACCACTGGATTGCAAGAAACGATTCTTCAAATGTCAACTCTATTTTGCAGCCAGACAATTTTTTGTTTTCTCCACGCTTAAAGTATCGAGAAAAAACTAAAGGCGATAATGTTCTGGTTAAGAAATTAATGAGCGAAAATAATTGTTACTGTAGAGACAAATTTGAAAAATTGCCCAAGCCTAGATATTTCAAACGGCCCAATAGTTGCGTTGGTTACAAAGAAGGAGAAAATGTAGATGATGATTTGAGACGAAAGTCTTTGACTTGTGTATGTGAAGAGGTAGATGATGATGAAGACATTGTTGGCGCAAAAGTCCGACAGGTTAAGAGTTTACCAGCTGAGGTTAGCTTTAAACCTACAGAGCAAAGGAAGAAATATGAAGAATATAGGCAAATGCAAGAGGAAAAGTTTCAGGAGAAATTATTAGAGGATAAAGAACGTGAAGAATTTGAAAAATTCAATAGTGAATATAGTTCACAAGAAAAAACGAATTCTGCTGGAGGAGATTATTCTGATATCGATACTATTCTTAGTACGCGAAAATATGGAACAAATTATACTTCTGAATCACAATTTACAAATAAAAAATATTCTGAGTCGGTACATACAAAACCTTCAAGTGACAATAATCATGATAATTTCAAAGGTGATATCCGTTCTGCACCAGATTTTCGACGGGAACACTATTTTGAAACACACAATATTGGAAAAATAGCTGATATTACTGGTAAGAAACAATCTTCTTGAAACAATGTATGTTTTTATAAAATTTAATTTAGGAAATCCATCTAAAGATGAACATACATGCGTTCACCAGTTCCAGCTCGACGACAGATGGATTCCAGAGCCTCTAAATAAAGATTCATTTGGAAGAAGTATATGCACAATATGCGATAAAGTTATGGAAGGTTCTAGAATCGGTTTGAGTTCTGGATTTCTTTTGACGGAGTAAGAGCTTTTTTTTTTGATTTGTAGTCCGAATTCCTAACTTTCCAATATTTAATCGTGTGCCGAGATTATATCGAAGAGAAGGTCAGTTTTGGATATCTCGGTTATATATTGCTCAATTTTAGAAAAAAAAAATAGCTTTGAAGGAAAAATATATCTGCTGTGACTCTAAAAATGTCAGAAATTCAGATATATAGAGGATTTCAAATGCTTTCTATTTTATAGATATATAAGTATTTACTGATTTTGATCTAATTTTACTGTATTCGAATTCGTTTGCAGCAGGATGAGTGATGCACTGAATCGTTCAAAAATCAAAAATTACGCAGAATCTTATAAGAGTGGCTTCACTCCTACAACAATCAATTTGGGTAGAGGAAAATCGAAAATTGAAGTCGTCCTCAAGGAACAGGATATTGACAAGTTTGGAAATTATATTAATCGAGTCAAAAGACCTGTTTACAGGAATAGTTTAGCTTTGAGGCATCAGAGACTAAGAATGATTTGAGATATTTTATATTTTTATCAAATTTTTAAATAAATATATTATCAATTTTAGAAATATCGGGTCTTCAAAAAAAAAAACAATCGAAGATTGCTTTGACTACGAAAACGTACGTCGCATTACTGTTTCTTTATTCGTCAGGATTTTTGACATGACATTTTGACATTAAATTTCATTGACAAAATTAAAGACAAATATTGCTAAGACCTACGTTTAAAAAACCATAGCAATCTTTGATTGTTTTTTTTTTTGAAGACCCGATACCTTGTTTTTACGTTTGAACTTTGAATGCCTTAATTGAGAAGTTATCATATGGTCAAGGGGCTCTTACATGAAAATCCGTCTTCAGATGTGAATATTTTTTTGGCCACCTTCTTGATCTTGTTTTTCTTTCCACAGACATATACTTAATGAGGGATTTTTCCTATGCCTACGCATTCACTCATTCAGCGGTAAAAGTTAGCATTTCAAGTTTTAGACATACATTCATTATAATTATTTATAAAGAATTAGTAGGTAAACAAAAAATCACGCTATTATTTATCGAAAAGTTTCAACACAGTGGAAAGCCTTGTACAAACTAACAAAATCTAAAATTAAGCTTGCAACGAGCCCAACGTTATGATAGTTTATGATTGGGCTTCAAATTTATGTTTTTTAATTGTTTATTTGTTCACCTCAAAGGCGCGAAACGATGTTTAAATTTTCGATTGGGGATATTTTCAATGTTTACCAAGAAGGTTTCGAAATTGGATAACTTAATGAAGGATAATTTAATTTATCCAAAAAATTGCATATAGTTTCTCTTGTCTCAAATTTCTAGATCCAAAATTAGCCCAGCAGCAAAACAATAAGATATCAATCATTGCGTTTAGAGAGCCGCATAGCGTTAGGAAAATAAATGGAAAACCAAAAACGATTCGGTGAAATTTTAACGGTCCTAGTCTAAATTTAAGCCGTTTGATTTGACAGCTTTATTTGAAACATCATGGTTTTATAAATGCTGAGAAACTTGCGGAACGGATTATTTATTGAAAGATTGAAGTCCTGTTATAGATCACCAACGAACATTTTCGGTCTCTTGGATACAAAATGTCCACCATTAGTTTGATTTGTTCTGACATAAGACATTTAGGTAGGCACCTACTAATCTTCTAAGCTTTCTTTGCTGTGGGTGAACACTTTAATTTTTCTCTAAGAGCGATTGTACCCAGCTTCTTTTCAACCTTATTTCTTATTTCTCTTTTCAGCTATGTTGCTGGTCGTCTATTCCTTTTCTTTTTTTTTTCTTAGGCTCTAGAGGTAAACCCCTTCTATTGGTTGATAAGACAAAGTTTTCAAAAATCTAAATCATAAGGTAGCTTAGTTAGGACTAAAATGATGAAATAATAATAATAATAATAATAATAATAATAATAATAATAATAATGCGACCCACACTGTCTAGATTGAAATACTCACCTGAATCTAGAAGAGTTATCGCCGGAGTCAACATCGTTCTCAGAGACATCATTCAGGAATGCGATACCTACTCTGGAGAAAACCCACGAACTGGTCTACTGCGCTGCGGATGCTGTACTGACGTTGACAGGAACACCTGAAAGAAAAGAAAGACAAGATAAAAAAATACTTATCGTTCACCACAATGGAAAAAAAGAATCGAAAGAAAAATAAATTACATCAGAAAAACAATCGGAGAACTACAACAAGCCTACGTCACCAACTCCAAGGAACACACAAGAAAATTAAAAAAGGAAATCAAGAACATTGCGAAAGAAGCAAAAATCAAAAGGAACTCTGCGAACTACCGACAGCAACTAAATACTTACCTAGATAGACAAAAGCAAAGGGTAGCTGTGCAAGGAGCAAGAATACGCCGAAACAACAAACGCAAACACAGGTACAGAGAAAACAAATTATTCCAGGAAGATCCAGGAAAGTTTTACAGATCACTGACCCAGCCTGAACAGGAAGCAATGCGTGTGGAGGATTTGATGTTTTCAGGTGATCTGTAGTAAGTCTTGGGCGCTACGTAAGAAAATGATCCCTCAAATTGAGCAGAATTGTGCTTGGGCACTATATGTATTTTTTGACGAGTCTAACGATCATGCACATCAGTACCTCTTACAAGTTTTGAATAGAAATATAAAGGCGACCCAGATAGAATAATCTTATGCACCAAACAAAACTGTTTGTTTGGTGCACCTTACACCTCTCATCTAGATTCAACCACTGAAACTTAAGTGAAATGTGATCAAATTTTCGTAAGTTGTATGAGAATCTAAGACAGCAATTTTGAACTTTTTGGAGGACTACCTTATCTTTCTGAAGCAGCGCAGGCCAGTAAACTATGTTGCAATAAGTCAATGATGAGAGAATAAGGGTATCGCAGAGTTTCAACTTAACTTCAGTTGTCAGTATATCTTTGTGCATGTACAAAAGTTTTAGTTTGCCATAAGACCTTCGAACTATACCGTTAACATACAACTGCCACTCGCTTTCGGAATACTACCATTCAAGTTAATGCAAAAATCCTGGTTCAATTTTATCATATTTCTAAAGGCACCAAAAAGCAGCAGCATCTTGGTTTTCCTCTCATTAAGAATTGAATGATGTGCCTCAGCAAAATCAACGTCTCTCAACAGATCAGAATTAATATTATTAGATGACGCTTTTATAGATTCTCGTTTAAAGGCACGTATAAAAAGCAGCAGTGTATAGAGAAAAAAATAGCGGACCAAAGGTGGGTTCGGGATGACTGTTCTATAAACTCCAAGTGCACTAAACACTCCCGATGCGTTCGGGTTTTGTCATTTTGAGCTAAAAGAGTACATAACTCCACATGCGTTCGGGAAGGACGTGCGGGAGTCAAAAGAGCTGACTCTGAAAGCACCACTAAGCGCCGGAGCGGGCATGCGCACTGTGTGCGTTTTCGTGATTTTGTGTAATTTATCCTATTTTTTTAATTGCGACAATCGACTATTCGACTAATCGACAGTCAACAAATCAATATTTAATCTGTAATTTCTTGGTAAATGGATGGAATGGAATGGATTTTAAACTGCTTATTTGACATGCAAGCAACGCGTAATTTCACTGAAATTTCCAATGATAATCTTGATGACTTCTTCAGACAAGTCTGCGAAATAAACGTCTTCAACAAAATCAAATATAGGCACCAAATACCAAAAATTCATAGAAAAGACTAGAAAAACGTTTGTTGTTTTTAAAATAATACTTCTCATTTTGTGGGAGGTTAAGTTAGGAAACTACAAATGCACCTTGGCCGTTCGGTTTCACTAATATACTCCAAAAGCTTTTTGGTCACGTGATGAAAACGCCACTCTAACTCTACTCGAGCTCCGCTGGGCCATCCCGAACCCAGCTCAAGTATATTACTTTGTGGTACTCCGCGGAACAACTCTACCATCTCAGATGTAACTCTTTGAGACCTTTTTGATAAATATGATTCAAAAAAAGATAATGAAGTATCAGCAAGGCCAAAGAACTTTAATTTTTTACAAAGCAAGCTGGGATTCAAGGCGTACAAAGGCCTTACTGAAATTCAGAAGTATTACGCAAGTATTGTCATTATCATTATGTACAAATATATCACTACAACGTTCAACAAAGCAGTTGTTGTGCTGAAATTTGGTCTGAAGTCTGATTGGAAAGGTGGTGAGATTCTCTTATTTTCCAAATATGTCTTAAATTGAATGGAAACATTTTTTCTCGATTTTGATGTGAGAATGTCATTATTCCCGCACGCAAAATCATTGAAGAATGAAGTTCATTTTTCAACGATTTTTAGTGACATTTAGTTTTCAAAGTGTACCTATTGGTACCTTCAAAATTGTCAAACCTTTCAAAATAATTAAATCCACCTGTCAGTTGGTTGGTAAATAAGTGTCACCAACTGACATATTTTGCACAAAAAAAAATCCCGAACAGCGAGCATAAAAAGATTTAAAAAAATGAAAAATAAATTCCAATTTACGTTGCAGAAGGCTATTCTCGCACTCATTCGTTTGTCCACTCGCTCCTTCGTCGCTCGTGTCCAAATTTCGAATTCGTGCGAGAATATGTGGCCTTCTGCAACTTGTATTTTAATATACTATTTCTAGAAGCTTTCAAAAATATGCGAGTATACTTATAGGTTTGAACTGCGACATCTCACAAGAATTAACAACCTTTTGAACCGGTATTATATTGGCCCGCTTACATGCAGAAGGAAAAACACCATCAGTCAAACATTTATTAATAATGAAAGTAAATACCTCCCTTTCAGAAACTTGTGAACATTTAAAATCTGACAGAACATTCGCATGTCTATTATTTTCATACATGGCAATACTGACACTTTTGAGTTTGTTCAGGTATATTGTTTCCATGGTAGGTAGGTACTACTTATTTAATTTGAGAAATTTTGTGATTGGTGTTTAAGCGGGAATAATGACCATTAATCCCTGCGGGAATAATACATAACATTATACTGCCAAAATCACATATTATGTAATACTTACATTATAAGTCAGTCGTAAATAAAAATATTTTGATTGGATATATTTGGTATGCTATCAACAAAGTATTTGCTAAATTCATGAGCATCACAAGTAGGTATCAACAAAGCCAGAACCAGAGACGTTATCATTATTAATATTCAAATATTCAAGCAACCACCAAAACTCGCGAGGGTTATTCTTGAACTTGTGTTGTAGGAACGCCTTTTTTCGAGTTTAACAGTTCAGTTCACGAGATTTCTAAGATCCTTGTAGTATTGCAGGAGATTTTACGGACTTATACTTACTTGAAGCCATTATTTCTTAATTTCATAATGTACTTTGAGCTAGGAGATAGCCATGGAGCAGGAGCCATGGTTATTCTGACTGTTATAAATGATGCGTGTTTGACGAAAAGAGTCAATATGCTGTTGTTTAAGAAATCGACCATTTCATCCGCAGAGGCCAAGCCGTATATTTGTTTCCAATTCAAAGACAAATTAAAGAAACCTCTATAAGTTCTATAAAGTATTTGTCTTCGAGTTTTAGCAGTT